TTTTTGTCAATTTGTTGTTCCCATGTAAAGTTCAAAACTGTTTTGTAAAATTCTCATTAATTTAATTCGATCACTTGTTTGTAAATTGCTTATAAACAAAAACAAAATAATGTTAAAAAAGCCCCCTACACACATATATACACACAAGACTCATACATATACATAGATACATATACTTATGCATATATACATACAAAGTAAACACAGCATTAAAGCGTGTGATCCCCACTATATACCAGCTATACATACAGATATACACATACTATACATACTATACATATATATATATTTACATTCATATTTGTATTTTGTAAATTGTTTTGTTTTTAAGCGCCCCATACACACACACAATCACACAAGCTCACGCATACACACTCTCACATCAATTTGTATTTATATATATATATATAGAAACGCGCTTATTTGGGCCGTCGAAACGAACTCTTTTTGTTTAACCACTAAGATTTAACTGATTACTGATTTATGACTTCAATTTTAAGTTTTTTAGTTATGATTTTTCAAAGATATGCATATATATATATATATTCTTTTTAACAAGCAACTCACTCACAAACACGAATGTAAAACCAATTAATTAAAAGCATAAATACAATTATCTATTTCAAGACCACTTGTAAGTCATTTGTTAGTTAGCCCACCTTTTATAATGCATAAAAATAACATGAAACATTTTCCTTTTGTAAAAACTCGTCACGGGCCACGCTGTGCTGCTGCTGTATACCAAGCAGTTCTCATGCAAGCAGTGGAATCGTGCTGCACTGCTTGTGTGCTGCTTTGCTTACAGTTAAGCAGCCACTGGACACAACAGCTATGTTGACGCTCGCTTTTAAATTAATTGTATTTTAATTTTTTTTTAATATAAACAATTGCTGCGCGGCTTGAAAGACACACACACAGACACACCACATGTAAATTGAGAGATTGTACTAAATGTACACACACACACACAAATTGTAAAAAGTCAGAAGTTTTGTACATTTTGATAAACACATTTAGCATATTTCTCGACGCCTTAAACAAAACTAAAACTAAACGAAGCATAAAAATCGAATTTAAATTCCTAATTTATACATACCGTTTTGATTTTAATATGTACATTATTCGCGGGTTTTCTATTTAGGCAAACTAAAACTTGAATGTGTTTATTTTTAAACACACGTAATGTATATAAACAAATATTTAGCATTGAGCATATGTAATTTGTGTGTAAATTTCAGACCAAGCCCAACTCACACGCATCTAACAGCCCCTGGCGTATTTCAAGCTTTGTCGTAACAATAATTTTGGTATTAACTTTGTGTATTTTTTGAGTATAAATATTTTATTAATTTGTTAGTTGTTAACTTATTAACTGCCTGTCTACAGAGCGCAATGCACTGATTAATTTTAATTTACATAAATCATACAAAGAAAGAAATAAATATACACTGTATTTAGATTCTCAAGTTCAGCATAGAACACACACAACACATATACACACATGCTGCAAAGCTGTCGTAGTTAGCCTAAGACAAGCTCTTATACTTACGAACACACTCTACATATATATAAATATATATGTATTACACTCGATTATGTCTAGCAGCAAAGATTTTAACTACTTATATATGATATATGACACATTTGTACATGTATTTGTATATGTAAAGTGGAAAACAAGATGAACCAGCAGCACAGTGAAATTTAAGACGCAACTAGCGCTATATATACAATGATATAAATATATATACATTTATATATATATTGGCTTGTTTTAACAGTAACAACATTTGCACTCATGTGGAACACTCGATTAAACCGACAAACAAAAAACAACATTTAAAAATTAAAAATTAAATTAAACAATGTAAACAATTGTAACTTAACTTATATAAAAATAAATGCATATAAAGAAATACGTGTACAACATAAGCAAATCGTAGTTGACAAAATACATAGAAATGGACTTTCATGAAGTTGGTTCTTGTAGAAACATTTTGTTGACTCGAACGAAATGAAAAACCAATTTCGAAGCTGCCAAAGCAGGCAAAAAATAAAGATTTTTTCAAATTGTACATTTTATTTTGCCAATTTACTTGTAAAAAAGAGTAGAAAAAGAGAGAAATCGAACAAAACAAATACATAAACTAAAACATTGGACGTTGAATTATTATATAAAAAGCGTATTTAAACTAAATATATTCACACAGACGAGCAGCAGAAATTTGTAAAATTTTTCGACAGCAAAAGATTGTAAACTAAGCTTAAGGCATACACTGAAAGAAAATGAGAACATTTGTAATTTGTTGTAAAAAGCATAGTACGATAGCAAGGATGTAAGCATGGATGGACAGGCGAACTATATAAAGTTGGCGTCAAGTAAAAACTATAAAATATATATAAATAAACTTTATACATACACGTACATACTTATAAAGCATAAATAATTATATTTTGTAGTTACACACTCGATCACACACGATCACACACACCCACACACCGATGAACCTTTAGTTTTGTAAACAGCGCGCAATCGGCACAAGTTACGTACGAGTCTATATATATATAAAGAAAACAAAAAGAGATAAAACAAGTATATAATTCGTAAATAGCATTCGAGCTTTCGAGCCTTTAATTTAATTATGCATACAAATTAAAAACAAAAACAAATAAAAAAAACACACAACTCTTATGTTTATTTTACAAATTATATTTAATGCTAATTTCATTGTGAGTAAAAATAAAAAAAGAAGAAAAAAAACACCGTTTATTATGAAACAGAAAAAAGAAGAGAAAATTGAAACGTTTTATTACCACAATTCAAATTATTCAGTTTATCATGGTTTATATTCCCATTCAAGTTCCAACCAATTGGCTTCAATTGAAGGCTGCGATGATAACAAATCTGAAATCAAAATTCATATTAATATGGCATACAACTAATGGATAGCATACTATATATAATATATATATACATGCATATATATATATGTATATATATATATATATATATATATATATATATATATATATATATAACTAACCTATAACCATTCCAAATCGAAATAAAATAAAATGAAAGCCGAATGACACCGCAAAGTTTGAGGCATTTTATACGGCGCATTTTTTATATAAGCAGGCTAGCTGTCTATGACATATATATATATATATATATATATACATATATATATATATACACACATATATAAAATGATATATACCCAAGAATGATCAACTTTTATATGAGCCAGTAAGTAAACGGACATATTTTTTTATAAGCCTTGGCAAGCTGCTCTTTTTCCAGGCCGAACATTTTAACAAAATTACCAATTACCAAAATTCACTAATATAATACATTTAAAATACAATTAAAAATGAAAATGAGAAGAAAAAGAAAACAAAATTTAAAACTAAACCCAACAGTAAATAAAGAACTAACAAATAATCCCAAATGAAAATAATTTCAAATAGTAGAATTTTCCATTGTAGAATTGAAATGTATGTAAAACTATATAGATTTTTACTTGAAAATTGTTCTGGATGAGCAAATCTCGATGTGTAATAGGCGGCATGTGCTAACTATGTTACAATAACATTACAACAATAACAACAACAGCAACCAACTTGTAGAAAAAGAACAACAATATTAACGATCCTTTACATTATACTGTATATACAGAATACTCGTATAAGGCATATATGTTTGCGATGTGGTCGTAAGTGAAAGGGACGATTGAAAATTTTGAAAATATATTTCAAATTTTAGAAAACAAAGCAAAAATAAAATGACAATGAAAATTAAAATGAAAATGAATCTATAGATTTTGATCTTGTATCGGGCTAAGATCTGATAGATCTGGGCTCAGCAATTTGAATTTTTCTTAAAGAAAATGAAAATTATAAAAAATATTAATCCATTTTAACAATGTTTTTCCTTAGCCTTTTGTTTTTCTTTTTTAATATTGTATAGCCTTTTATAGCTAGTGATTAGTCCTCACACTTACTCCAAATGCAGATTTGGAGCACTTTCGACCAATGCTAAAACTGTACAACTTAAGATTGGTTATTGTTTTAGTTTCCTTTTGAATGCCCCGTTAATGCCACAATGACACCCAACAAATCAACTCGAATTCAATTAAATGAAATGGAAAACATGAAACCTAATTAGCCACTCGTATGTACATAGGTGTACGAACATAACTAAAGATGAACAATTGTAAAACTAAATACTTCTACATATTTAATAAAAAGAAACTTTAAAAAAAACATGGCCAAACAGTTTACTTATTTTAGAGTTGAGAACGCTGCGGCGTAGCTGACTGCATCATACTCGTTGAGGGTGCTAGCATTGGCATGAAGACTTCCTGGTTAAAGATCATTACATACGCCATTAAATGGAGGAGCAGCACGAGCACAACCATGACTTGTAAGAGATTCCAATAATTTACAAGCGTTGTGCTGATATAAATATTATGCTGATATAAAGGGTTGTCAAAAAAAACAGTCTTGCCAACTCAAACTTGTAAAGCACTAAAAAAAATCCTATGTGGTCAATTAATAGGAATGACAAGATCATTAAATGGATTTAAGATTTTATTTTTATTATATTCCAATATTGAAGCTGCTTAATCCTCTCTAAACTCTGGTCAGCTGTGTTTACAACTATTTGTTTTTAGATTTGTAGCAAAATGCAGCAGAAGCACAGGTGAGCAGCTGCAGGTAAACAAAAAAATTGCATACTCGCAGGGGCAAATATCGTTGCTGTGGAAAAGCCTATTGCATATGCGCAAGGGAAGCCGCTGGCCGTTAAGTTTAAATAAAATTTTTGTTGGCCAAAGAGTTTGTCACTTCGTTCCCTCGAAAAAAACTCCGAATAGCTTAAGAGCTGTCAAAATGATTTACAGCCCTAACGAGCCGTTTGTCAAAGAAGACTTCGCTAATAAATCAGTAAATAAATTTTTCATGTATTAAAAAGTTTCTTCCGTAAAATATTTGGAATATTATAGTTGTCTGTCTTTACACCTCATAGAATGCAAGGATATTGTTTAATACTTTGTCCATAGCGATAGCGAGTATTTTACAATTAAATAAAAAGCAAACTAATAGCTAGAGTCCTTAGGCTAGGTAGTCTAGTTCACGTAAAACTGATCGACAGGAACGTTCTTAAGCAGCTGATTGGCCAACTTTCCGAATTCGGTGGCCAACTTCTTTTGGAGTTGCGCCTGCATGGCCTCCAGCACAATTTGCGAATTGTCGCGCAGGAAGAGATTGGTGGCCTCCACTAAGAAGATGAAATAATCTGATTAATTAAGAGGTCGTTTGAGTGTGCTTTAATACGTACACAAGACGCGATTGTTATTGAAGGCGCGCGAGATGCTCATGTTGACCTTATCCACATCCAAGACTAGGCTCAGCGAATCCACGTGCAGGAACTTGCCGCGCAGCGACGTCTTGCCGGTCAGTTCGGCATTGACGCCATCGAATGTGGCATGGAATTCGCCACCGCCAGAGGCAGGTATGATCAGCAGTACGCCGGAGCTGGTGTACTTAGCCTCGATCTTCAGGTTGGGCATGAAAATGCGCGCCTTGAACGGCTCACCGCCATTCTCGCCTAGCTTCAACGACTTAACCTGAAAGTTACTGGCGCCAAAGGCTTCCATGTTCTTCAGCGTAATCTTATAGCCTTGCGGTCCCTCGGTCAGCTGCAGCGCCAGCGAATCCATCTTGAAGGGCTCCACGGAAGGCAGCTGAACGAATGCAGACGGAGATAGAGATAGAAATGGAGATAGATATTAGTTAGGACAACTCAATTGTACATCAAGTTAGACAATTTCCGCAATTGAGTGGCAGCTGCCACATGCAATTGGCAACACGTTGCGCAATCGCCGTTTTTGCCACTTGCCATTTGCCAATTGTGTCTTATGCAACTGCAACCCGTTTGGCAATGCAAATATGCATGAAAAGGGTTACCCACCTCGATCTCTGGTATGCCGCTGGCCAGGTAGGGCCTCAGGTGCTCCAGTCCAGCGCTGATACAGTCGACGAGCTTGGGATCGTCGCGACGGCATTGTTTGATGTACGCGGCTATTAAGTAAACATGAAGAGCCACCAAAAATATTCATCACTTAGTTGTTTAAACAAAAACATCAATTTCGCTTTCAATTCCTGTAAGGTTCAACGACTCGCACCAAAGTCGGTCAACAAATATTCAAGTTCAGGCCTGGCCAAGAGCAAGCGCGATCTCTGGCAAGGTCGACCACAACAAGGTCGACAAATGCAACGCTTAAGAACCTGTCTGAGCTCATATAGTAGAGTATTATGGCATACAATTCTGCTGCATGGCCGTCTCAAATCGTCGCTATATAATGACATACATTCCTATATATTTTTTTATATAAATAAATTAATTTTCGATCATTAGCGCCGCTACTGCAGCTCAACGCAAAATTCAAGTTGAAGGCTGTTCAACGGAAACTTAAATAAATGTAGCTTTTAGCTGCGCTCATTAAACATGGATTTGGTTCATAGTTTGCATTTTGAATGCGTCTTTTATGGATCCGGAAGCCTCGCCTCAGTTGATTTCCATTCAGCTTGGTACCTGCCCGAGTTCGAGATCTGTTTTGATTCGACTCGTGCCAGTTTACATTTATAAATAGTTTTTATAAAGGAAAACGCTCCGCTTGACATTTGACACTTGACATTTGACATTTACAGGGATACAAACATGCATATTGAAGTGTAACTGTAAATGCAACTGTTAATTGCACAATCATGAGCTCATCCGCAGTCGGCGCAGTCAATAACTTGACTAATGAACTATTGTTGACTGCATTTTAGAGATGCTAAGTGAAGTCCCCAATAAACTTAAAAAAAAACTAGCTGTACTCAGCTTTGCCTTTTGTAATGAAATAAATTGTAAAATAAATAAGAGAAACATATAATTAGAGAAATATGTCTATATGTCTGTCAATTAAATCAAATTTCGGACAGCACATCTATCAATTGTCAGCTAACCTTTCACTGCTAATTAATTACAAATATACGGAAAAACTTAACACTTTTATCGATGAATATTTATATGAGGGAGTATAGAACATACGAATATGTTCAGGCAATTAGCTAGACTGTCGGAGACTTATTTCCAATTACAGCGAAATATACATTGAACACGTCCTTCACATGTCAGTAGCCAGAGCTGGAATATGTGTTACAACACCTTATGCACACACACACACACACGCACACACAGTTCTAATTAAGATCGAACTTACGCGTTTCGGCCTGTGAGAAAGCGATCAAGAGCGGAGCAACTGCTGCTACAATGCACAAATATCTCAGCATATTGATGTGCTTGCTAATGTTGTTATTAAAGCAAAGAAATAAACAATTAACGACACGCCACGAAACTCCAACTAAAGCAATAATTATGTATTTTATGGATCTCGGCTCTTGGTAGACGTCCAACAACGCGCAGCTGCGAACGACGACTGTGAGCGTTGGCAAAGTGGCGGCTTGATTTTAAAGCCCCCTTCGAAGAGGAGGCGACTGAATGCAAAGCTGGCAGTCGTCATCGCCTGACCGACTGACTGGCCGACTGAGCGACTGAGCGACTGACTGAATGACTAGGTGAGTTGCTGGCTGCTAACCGGTGTTTAGTAAATGTGTCTAAAGGTCTCTTTTCCTCCTCACTCTTCAGCTTAGATCTTGGCTGCCCAAAATATTGTTATTATACTCATTGTAAACGGTCTAAGTTGGGTATACTGACTAGCAGTTTGCGAAGAGAACGATAGGTACTTATAGATACTCGCTCACGACAAAAGACGTCTTTACACATTCATTAACATCAAAAGGTAAACAAACTGTTTTTAACAACTTAGCTACAGGGTATCTTGTGATCGGTGACCAAGGTTTGTTTACACTTGTCTTGTTTGCTTTAACGCCAAATGGCACAAAGAGCAATAAATATTTTCAATTTTCGCAATGGTCTGTAAATTTTTGCCTAACTCTTTTAGAATTAAATAATACATTTTTATTATTAATCTTTCAGAAGTGCTAAGATGCAAATCATTATGAAGCTAAGAACATTCCTCGCAGCAATCAACTGTTGGCACCTGTCGGTATACTACCTGGCGAATCAGTGCTCAGTCACGGCCCGACAACCATTGAGCAATTGACAAGCTGTGCACCAGAACAGCCTTCCTCAGAAGCAACTGACCTCTGCACAAGTAGCCACAATAACTAATTGATATCTATAATTTGTAACTCTCGACATCTTTCGTCCATTTCTGTGCCAAAGTCATACGTATGAGACTTTTAAAGATAAATAAGTATACAAAAACTGAGACTCAATAACATACTTAAGTAGCATTCATTCTCTGTACAGTATACAATTAATTGGCGCTCGTAATATGAAAAACAGTTTATTTCTGACGTCAAGACTCGTTCTGATCAATATTTAATTGTGAATAAGCTTATGGAGTTCAGAGTGCCATACAAGTGCGACAGCAGCTAGCATTTCAGGAGCTGCTCCAGCTCAGATTCCGTTCACTTGGACACTTTGGCAAATGGGACTCAAGTAGGGTTAGCTTTGCACTCGCTGATCTTTGACTGATCTTAAACTGTTTACAATGGCCCTGACAAGTACAGAGTGGAGAAGTGCCAATCCACACAAAGGCCTCCATTCGATTCTAGCACATAATAAATGTGAGCTCGTTTACGAGTGGCCGTGCCACACAATACGAATACCAATATGGATTATGACAATAGGGGCAAAAACGTAAAGAGGAGCCGGAGCCAATAGGTAAATAGTAGGTGGTACAGGAAAACGTTTGTCACACCATTGTCTAAAGTACTCGCATTGTTATTTAAATAATTAGACAGCTTTGTTCTAGCATCCAATGGGTTCGGCACATTAGTGGAATACATATTCATATGCATATAAACACTGCACGAATAATGTTTCCCAGAAATCACCAAGAGCATCTACTTAATTATAACAAGAATAAAGGCTAAACAGTCGTTACGTGAGCCTTAAGTGCATATGGCCACAGAGCTACGGACCATTATATAATTTTTGTAGAAGTTTTAATGCTAGTCATAAGTAAGAGGAAACGAGTTCCAGAAAACTGGATTTTAATGGGCTGCAACTAACTATATAAGAAGAAGAATATTAAGCGCTGATTAAATTATCAGCTGATAGTTTCACTATCGATAGAAACTAGTTTCTAAATGTTTTTTATTTGGGATACATAAATTCCCAGCTCAACAGACAACTCTAAATAATTAAATAAACATATGTTCGCAAAATAATATAAACAAGAAAGTCAAGGAAGTGCAAGTTTCTAGGCCATATGTATTCGCATTTCAAGTCAGCTTGGCTTAACTTAAAGATTACTCTTTATGTAATATAAACAACATTTCTCTATGCACACATAACAATGCACATGATTATTCAAGGACTGCCGCTGGCTACGGGAAAGCTTTCAACAATAATAATTTAAGCAAACCGCAATGAGCACAATGACCAATAAAAATAACCTTGACCGTAACCATTAAAACCTGAAAACTGGCATTTACGCTGCGACTAATATGTGTGCCGCGACTGTAGCGCCAGTGAATTTTTGGCTGCGCTGTAAAGTATGCAACACTTTTGCACGTTTATAGTGCAGCAACTGAAACAATTCCTATTTTTACTTTCATCATGCCTTATTTTCGTATAGAAATATATTTATTATTTAGTACTGTAAAATATTGAATGCACTCTTTAATATTAACACAACAATTGAATAATTAAAATGCACCACACGCCCTTGGGGCATTGTTTGTATAAAGTTCTTGAAGTTCTTTATGACTTGCAATTCTTTGGATGGGGGCGTGTCAAAGGAATTTGTCATAAATTAGTGTGATTGATTGCTATCCAAGGAAAGCATAATTATTTGTATTCAATGAAAGACCATATTGCTTGCTTTTATTGTTCGCATGCAAATGATTAGAGCGTGTGCAATGCAAACGGAATACGGTAAGTGGCAAATGGCAAATGTAAGCGCTTGACCTTTCAGAAAGGCACCCTATGGCCAGCTCACCTGCTTGGCCACAAAAGAGCACAAATTGCCAGCCATCATAAGGTAAAAAAAGATTTTCCTGCCATAGAAATTATATACAGACTATGCTGAATGTAAGGCACGCAGGATTAAGCACAGCTTATCCCTGGGCTAATGAAGCTCATGATTCACGGCTCATTACGCTGATTTAAAACGCCAGGGAAGGGAAGGGCAGGGCAGGGCAGGGCAGGCCAAGCCAAGTCAAAGACCGAACAGCTCATGGCATGAACTTAACCTTCAGTGGTGAGCTCAAGCCCAAGCCCTGCCTAGTTGCTGTTGCATGCAGTGGCCGGTGGGTGTGGCCCCATTTTGTGGCCTTTGTTCGTTGTTGCAATGCACTTTGCGTACGCCTTCGGCACTGCTTTCGACGCAATTCATTTCTTTTGGCCGACATGCTGACTGGCTGGCTTGCTGGCTGGTTGGGGTTTTTGGTTAAATGGCTTGGTCCAATGCAGCGTTGGCTCATTCCTCGCTCAAGTCGCGTGAAAGTTGGACGCCAGTCAGCGCAAAGAAAGCAAACCAGCAGCAACCTTTAGAAGAAAGCAATTCATTCACTTCGGTTTTAATTCTGTTTTTATCGTCAGCCAGCAAGAAAGAACAAACAAAACAACTCGAAACGCAGCGAACTGGTCCGTTTTGACCCACTTACGAGCTGAGCCCGCTAGAATTTCGAGGGCAGAGTGAAATTTATAAACACTGTATGTTCCATTTTGTGTGTGTGCGTGTGTGTTGTTTTGTGTGTACATCAAAAATTAAGTTCTTCCGAAACGCTTTCGCTCTTACTCATAGACGAAAACCAGTAGACAGAAATTAGCATATACAACATGAAAGAAACGTGCTAATAAATTATGAAACCCAGCTAAAAGTGAAACAACACTCATAACTATTCATTTTTACTTGTACTTTCATGCAGAGCGACCAAAAAGTCAACAGCAAAAACCACAATGTCTTACAAATTTGGAATAATATTGCTGCTCTCCACGATGGGCGCCATTCGTGCCCAGCAACAGCGTAAGTAGTGCCAAATATCCAATTGGAATAGCTAAGGAACTCGCCAGAAATCGTAAGCAATTGCGTGGTCTATGGCTCTATCACTTTCTAACCACGCTTTCCAGTCCTTAAAGAGGGGCCCAAATGACGGCAGCGATCACGTCGCATTTAGTTAGACTTTAATTACCGCCACAAAACGTGCCGGCCACATCGAAAGTTGGCATCAGACGTGGGGCTTACATTTCCAGGAATTACTTAACTCCAAGTTAAAAATCCCCCAAAAGCAAAGGGCATATGACAAACCTATTCAAATAGCCAAATATAATTTGGCACAGCTTAGACAAAGATTTTTTAAGAGCATTTGCTATAAACGCAGCTAATTTTAGAAAGCCATATAAATGTTATTCCAAGAATTATACTACGATGAGACGTGCCTTGCTGTATATATATTTATGTATTTATCAACCTTTATAATGTTTTGAAATAACTATAAAACTAACAGGATTGTAGTAGGAGATACTGTTGCTACGAGCTCTATTCGAAATATTACTTCAGAATTCTTACTAGAAAATCTCTTGTTCTCTTTGAATATTAAATAGGAAAACAGTTGTGATGTATTGGGAGATCGTTTATTAGAGCAAATCCAACTTTTTTGATCATTGAAGAAGATAGCAATATCATTGCAAACAGTTAAGCATTTGTGACGATATTAAGTTAGGTAAGAGTATTAGATAAGACTTTGGCAGTGAGCAGTCTAATTTAAATACTCAGTAACTCTGAAGCTGATGCTACATGTACTTGAGTTCATGCCCCCAAGTGGATAGGCTATATAGTTTTCCGCTCAACGTTAATGAAGCCCGCCAATAAAGCTGTCACATCAAGTCTGTCTCAGGCATGTGGCCAGGCAATAACAAGTTGATTGCTGAACATGATCACGCCTATGCCTGGGATTGATCTTATCCGCCGGTGTGCAGCGGCACTGAGCGAACTTGAACTAAGCGCAAGCATTGCGAGCCGCGCTGCAATTATTTTCGCTTCACTCGGATGCACAATGTTTGAGTTTCAGCTTGAAGATAAACAAAATAAAAATAAAGAAAACAAGAGGCAATCAGCAAAAGTTGATAACCTAACAAATGAGCGTGCAATAAACGTCGATGAACTGGGAAATGTTTCGCAGTTGCAGCTGGTCACACTGTCTAATCACTCAGTGTTCCCATCTCCTTCTCTCTCATGCTCTCCATCCGTGCACACTCTGTGAGAGTGTTATTTGTACTGCCAGCACTTTTAGTTTTAGATCTCTCTTTCTGTCTCTCTCTTCCACACCTGCAGCTTACTACCTGCAACAATGCCCACGCGATGAGGCAGCTATCAACGAGTGTCTACGCGACAGTGGCAATAAATTGGTGCATTATCT